CCTTAGTGGTGCCCTAGAGGATGTTTTCAAAGTTTGTAGAGTAGTGTCATCATATAACCCTTTACAGAGGTCAATTCAGCCAGAATGAAGACCTGGCGGGGGTGGCGTTGTGGTGGAAGGTTTGACTTCCTGATCCATCTGCATTCATTTGAACTTTAGAAGCTGGCCTATCAGGGTTTCCAATCATGTGGAGAGGCCCCTTTGCATTTGAAGGTGTGTGAGCAAGATATGTGTGGCGATCACAAAGGGACGTTTCACCGTCTACTGATCCCTGTGCCACCACTTTATTTCTCGCTGCCACCACCCAGGCCCTACCTGGTACAATACTGAGTCCAGTCAGGGTTAAATTGGAACATAAACTTCTGTTTATTTATCGCAGTTTAACAATCGTGTGGTTTCATAAACGGTATCAGTCAATTACAGTCATGGGGTGCCTAGCCAGACCTATAGCTTCCACTACCTGCTCTCACTCACTAAACCACCTCTCAGATATTTACTTGTCTTCCTAGTTCTTAACTGTTCCTGACTCAGCTTATTTTGCTACACTAACTCACCTTACTCACAGACTCTATCCCCATTCACTCCCACTCCAACCAACCTCCCAACAAACTCCTCCTTTCACCCCTCCCAGAGCTGGTTTTATAGTCCCTCTGACTCCACCCCCCTGGGTCCTGATTGGGTAACCTGTTTAACTATTTCACCTCCAGCACTCTCATATGTTAACGTCACAATATGAGCGAACAGAAATGGGTTGACACAGAGGCTTCTGCCCTCCCCTTACATGAGCCACAGATTTTCAGGGTCAGAATCTAGCTTTCATTGCTGGTTCCTGGCAAGAGGGCACACTAAGGACTAGTAGCTTAAGCACATCTAGGACGATTACCACCCACCACTGCTCTGACGAATAGCCACTGTGCTTATTTTTTGTACATTTGCACTTTAATTGAATTTAGACTGTTGGGACATAGAAAGCTGCCTTGCACTGAATCAAAGCATTGGTCCATGTCACTCATGATGGCCAACACAGACTGGCAGTGGCTCTCCAAGGTTTCTGAACATTCCCAGCCCTATCTGGAGATGTTGGGAGTTGTACCTGGGACTTTTCTCTCTCTGCATTCCCATGTATATATATACCTGCCAACTAGAACATTGCTTTTGTTTGCTTAATTACATAGCATGCCGCTACATTTCTTGTTTTTCTTTAGATAATTACAGATCTGCTGGTCATGATGGGGAGAGTGAAGAGCTAAGCCTCCCTCACAGAAGCACGGCCTTCTCAGCGGGAATCAGGCTCCCTAGCCCCTGTAATCATTTAAAGAAAAAACAATATGTGTGGCTATATACTGCATATTAAGTGAATATTTAGTCTGGCACTGCAGTGGAAGAAGTGGACTCTACAAAAGCCAATGCATTACTATGTTTGTTAGTATGAATGGAAGGAGGCAGCAGTTTCCATCCCACCCTGACGCTGCCACAGTCAGTGCTGTTTCTGTTGCACTACAGTTCAGCTTCTGCTAAAACCTACGTTATTGATCTTGCTATCTGCTGCGACCTGAACAAACTCAATCATGTAATTTATTGCATAATTAATTTAAATGTATTTTAGTGAAAGGGAAACATCAAAAGTAGCGCTGAAAATAATGTAATGATTTATGTAATGTTTGCTGACTAAAAGAACCCCATATTTGCTTGTGTGATTTCCGTTCCTGACCTTGGGCAAACATGTGAATTGTGGCAAGTTCCCATTCTGCTCCCATTTCCATTTCCAATGCAATTCTACAACATCCCTGTTTGTTAGCCTTTAACATACCACAAGACTTTATTCTTGTTTTGCGCAGGAATTGCGACCACAAAACATTCATATTTAGCTGTCCTTGCTACAGCACCTGCACTTTTCCTTCTTTCCCCCTTTTCTCCCTGAGCCGTGTGGGGCATCTGGTCCAGATGGAGACTCTAAACAAACGACAGGGAACAAAACTGGTGACTTGCAGCTCGTAAAATGCAATGGTAGCCGAAGGAAGGGTTAATACCAAATGGGAAGCAAGCATCTCCTTTTTCCGTGCTTGAACTTGCCGTCTGCTGGCTGTCTTTCTGAATGTTCAGCTGAGCATGGCAGGGATTCTGTGCTCCCAGCAATGGGGCAATCTCGCCTGCCATTTCTGTCCACTCATGCCTCTCCGCCCATCTCCCCATGGCAGATTCAGGCAAGAAAAACACAAATGATTAAAAGCAAAGCAAGAGCAGATGTTCCGCATCAGGTTTAAAACAGGACTGCAGTAGCTACATTATCTTAATCCTCCAAGTAGGATATGCGCTCTGGGGCATGTTCCTATGATTTGTGTTTAACATTCTGGCCTTGCCGCTGTATACAAATGTTTGCTTCCTTTTTTTTGCTTTTCGTCGGCTCAAAGCTCAGATGGAAGTCAAATGTTACTGAGTTCATGCTTCCCCTGGGGGATTGAAATAAGGAGTTTGAAATAAAACAAAAACAACGGATCACGTACTTTGAAATTAGTTTGCTGTGATGTAGATCTTTCTAACTTTTTTTTGAGAAGCAGCACACGGGGATTTTGATGTGGCCAAAAGCCAATCGCTATGGTGAAGAAACAGCTATGGTTAGGGGTAGCATGAATATTTCACAGGGGTGCGTGTCTCAAAATGCAACGCAGCCTGCCCCACGCAATACTCGAATACAGTGGTTCCTATTTGATTTGGGTAACTGTTGTTCATCTCCCCCCCTTCCAATATTACCATACCCTATACTTTCTGCTCTTCCCCCAAACAATTTTTTTAAGCCTTTGTTTGGGTTTGTTCTGCAAGACCAATTAGGATGGTGCAATTTGCTGGTATGTGACTGAATCCCACCAAAATATAGCAACAGTCTAGAAGCCCCCTTAATTTCCCCCCATCTTTGCCTTTAAAAAAAAATAGGGTGAAACTCTGGGGTACTGTTACACACATTAATGTGTGAAATCTGAAAATTGCCCCAGAGTTAGCACTACAGCTTTAGCCAAACACCTGCTGTCTGAATAGACCACACTACCTGGTTCTTAGATTTCTCTGTTTTTGTTGTAAAGATTTAATTTTCCTGGGAAACTGATTTTAGCAAGGCTGCTATAGATTAGATGGTCATAACTAAAACCACATAAAGCAGGACATTTCAGTATAAAGTAATTCTAATGAGCTTTACAGAAAATGCTAAATACCGGCATTTAAATGATGCCTCAGAACAGTTTCAGTTCAAAATAATGGTTTTGAATCTGAAATTTTGTTTTGTGTATGGGAAAAGGGACATTTTAATTAAAGAGACAAAGGACTGACAAGGGTGTTGCCTATAATATTTTTTTAAAAAATAGGAAAACCTTGAGGATGAAAATGAGCAACTGACTCTACTGAGAAGACATCTGACTATCAATTTCTCCCTTTCATGTCATTTGAAATATGACTTCCTGGTAGCTGAAGGCTCATACATTACCTATTACATGCACATGGTTTTCATTTTACATTTCACTTTCCTATTATCATCATTGCTAGTTGAAGGGAGAAAATAAGCACCTTCCCCTGTGGAAAACAAAACCATGTCAAAAGAAGAAAGCGGGGGGGGGGGGTGAGGAGAGAGCTGCAGAATGGAACCCTCTTCCAGATGTGTGTAAATTGCATGTGAGCAGAATCTCCTAAGTAGTACCTTTCGGAGGTCATAATAATTGAAAAGCAGCACGGGGGAGGTTTTGACCCCAAGATGATCATTTCAGTTGCATGGAAAGAGCAGATGCAGATGCCACTCTTTCCAAGCAGAACACATTCTACACCACGTGACCAAGGAAGGCAAAGACTTGTTCTCTGCTGCCCCAGAGGACAGGAATAGATCTGTCAGGATTTAGCTGCAGGTGGGTACATTTCAAGGGAAAACTAGGGAGAAATGCCTTACGGGTAAGAGCGGTTTGACAATAGAGCCAATTGCCTAGAGAGGTCATGGGCTCCCTGGAGGACTTCAAGCAGAGTTTGACAGCCATCTGCTTGAGATGCTCCAGTTCTAGATTCCCTGCATTGGGCCCACAAAGTAGGCTATCAGAGAAGTAGGGGTCTGCAGGGTCCTTCCCACTGGATATGCATCCTTCTTGTCCTGTTCTGTCTACCTCCTACGGCAATTCAACTTGAAAACAGCCTCTCGTTGGCCTAACTGCCGCATGGTTTGTGTGAGTGAGAAATCTTCAAGCCTAATTGCTGGGGACGGGGGAGATGACTGAGTATGTGGGTGAGTGTTTAATGAGTTTTGGTTATCTGTGATCATGGTTCCCACGAGGTTGATAAAACACTGACAAACCTAGCTTTCATCCCTCATTTCAGAAAAGAAGGTATGGCAGCAAAAACCTGGAATCAGGACGGAGCTCAATGTTGTGAGACCAGTGCTTTTTAAAAAAACAGTTTGGGATAAAAAGAGGATTTGCAGTGCTTTCATCTCCTGCATTGTGTGTCTGGCTTCACAACTGAACTAGTGGGTGAGCATCCCAGCATGGTGCACACTGGTTAAAGCTTTCAGCGGTGGACTACTCTGCACAAGTGCTCCCTCGCTCATTGCTCCACCTGGGGAAAGTTAACAAAGCACACTTTAGCTGGGTGCCTGAGACAGGATGAGTCTCAGTCTTACAGAAGCTGAGTATTTCATCAACCTTCCCCAGAGTCTGAATCAGGCAGAAGCAGCAGTACACGAGGATGGTAGCTTGAACCAGCATCCACTTTGCCAGTGTGGTCATCTGTCAGTTCGTTTGTGAAACTAGGAAACACCCATTATGAAACCTTTGCTTTGTTAACCTTTTTTAAATTTTACCTCTGCCTTCCCTCTAAGCCTTTGAGGGAAGACAGACATAAAATTAGAGGTGGTTCTTGCACCTCTCTCAGATGACATACAAACACACATGTACAGTGAAGATGGAGGAGGAGGAGGAGGAGGAGGAGGAGGAGGAGGAGGAGGAGAATCAAGGCAGGAATCCTGCCACAACCATCCCTGGGTGGGCTTGAACCACCAACCTTCTGATTAACAGTCAGACGCACTGAGCCATTGTGCCACAGAAGAAGAAGCACAGTGTCCTGCCTTTCAAGAGATTAGTTCATGTGATGCATCTTGCCCCCAGAGTCCTTACTATCTTGCCTTTTCTTACTCCCTTCCCATTGTCCCTATACCTCCCCCACACACCCTACTGATCTCCTTGATTCTTATGCTGCTTTGGCTGTGGACCTTATAACTCAGACCTTATTGCTAGAAGCCATTGTGAGCAGCAAGTTGGTATAACATTAGGCCTGTGGGCTGTATTTCAAGGAGTTGACTGATTTGCCCTACAATTTAATCTCATAAGACTAGCAGACTGCTCCAAGGTTTGCATGTTGGGCAGGCAAAGAGGGGTGTTCTTGCTGGCAGATACCTGCCTGACAAAGGAGACATGAAGCTTCCTGGCTTTCCCTTTCTTGTTGGGAATCTTTTGTGTACCAGGTGGGACAGGAGATCTGACAAGTTTGCAGAAGCAACAAAAAGCGGAACTGGCATCTTCAAGCAGATCAACAGAGTGAAACAATTAGGGCCTGGCAAGTGTTCAGAACTGATGAAAGGGTTGTAATGCAAGGCAGACAGCGACTGTCTGCAACTGGAAATAGACTAATGAGCAAATACAAAGGGGGGGGGGGAGCTAACAAGAAGCTTCTTGAATAAAATCATCACTCGAAGGAGACTCTCCTTGAAGGTAGAAAGAGGACTTTTCTGCAGTTTCAAGAAAGAGGTCCACCAATGCCTTACAACAAATTTTGATTTAGAGCTCTCCCTTCCAATTAGATTAGGCAAACCAGGGAGGTTTCCCAATAAGTAGGAGATCATTGTGTCATTTCATTCCTGTTTTGAGCATTCATTCTCAGGTCCAGAGATCTAGTAGGACTCTGGCCTCAGGCTGCACCCCTTACCAGGCCATGCCTCTCACCAGCTTAGCTTCATATAGTCCTTGAGTTTTTGACTTATCTGTAATGTGTCCTTGGACTCTGCTAATGCCACTTGCTAGTCTGGATGGAGGAAGCCGAATCGAGTGTATCGTCAGGGGTGGGGGAAGAATAGATACCACAGTGTGTGGGTTCAATGTACTCTACTGTACATTAAGAGTCACGTCCATTGCTCCACCCACTTTTGCCTCTTACTCAACCCTCAATTGGCTTGTAGCTCCTAGAAGTTTGCCTGTTAGGCCTTCAGAGTAACAAAGATTTCTCAACTGTGACACAGAAAATCAGGGAAGCCAAATATGATTTGCATGACCATTGTTTTAACTTGGGTGGTGATGTAGTGAAGCCACTGCAAGTTGACGTTTATAGCACAGAGACTGATCATAGCTCATACTCCAGTTGTGTTGAGGGTGCAAGTGCAAGAAGCACCAAAATGTAGGTTCAGCCTAGTGGTGATGATTACTGTGCCATCTTGACCTTTGTTGGAGGTGGGTAACAAGCATTTCCAGGACTGGTTGCCATCATTAAAAACGAAAAGTAACCTAGCAATGACTTTACCCCATAACTATCCCATAAAAATAGCCTTGTGAACTGCCCCTGATGCCTCAGCCATGCATATGTTTTCAGATTCATGCATCACCTTGATTTAGGGGCTTGCAAGTCACTTCAGAACTGTAGCCTTTGATGACTTTGAGGATAACATTGGTTGTCGTTTTAACAAACGAAAGCAATAAGCCTCTGCGCGTTCATCTCAACTGCCTGGACCTTGTTATTGGTGTCGCTTTGTGGGGGCTTGCTGGAAATGTGCTGAGCGGTGGCAGTGGGCCATAACTTCTGCAGATGCTCTGGTTTTCTGAAGATTGGTCTCTGATGCTTACAAAAATGTTTATTGAGCACACTGATGCAATCTGCTCATTCATAGCATAATACATTAGCCTTATTGCAATGCTGTTTTAGCCTAAAAGGATTTGCTGGCAAGCCATATTGTAATTAAATTTTAACGTAGCTACTAGTGTTTAATGTGGGGGGTGTTAGTGAGGGTCTCTAGATATATCTGTAGGGAGGTGCAAAAAGCAAGATGTTGCTGTATGGCTCCCAATTTTCTGCCATTAAGCCTATGAATAAAGGGTATCCTAGGTCAATTACCTCCCATGCACATTAGTGAGTGGCAGTTACAAATGGGAATAGAAGAGTCTTGCTCTTCCAAGATCAAGGTTAAATGAAACCTCAGCATGAGCAAAGAACAAGTTCTCCGAGGGCGGCTGTAAATAAATTAGATTCCAGCAGCTGCATGGAAATTGCACAGGTTTCTATTTGAAATCGAATTAAAAATACAGGCAACAAAATGCAGCATAACAATACAACAAGATTACTAATTAAGCTGGAAAGGAAACTCACTGATTGTAGCCCATGGGTAAGTAAAATAAGCTAAGTAGGATGACTAACCTGTGGCCCTCCAGATGTTGTTTAGACTCTAGAAGATCCCATCATCCCTGACCTTTCCTCATGCTGGCTGGGGTGATGGGAGCTAGAGAAGCTGGTGCACATTCCCTTATCTGGCTTCTGATTTTTAAAGAGATTTGACTGCTGCATCTGTACCATCCTTTGGGGAATTCCTAGACCAGTGCTGGATGGCCTCATGGACAATTGGTGCAGGTGTTGAAACCCTTCAGACTATGAGAAGGAGCCTCATGAGCATGGAGAGTTTCTACAGAAAACCACCTCCCAAGCACACAAACTAAATTTCTTTGCAAATGTGGGGGAAACTGGGTGAATAGTGAAAGGTTTCTTGCATCACAAAACATGTCCAACTGTTTAAAGCACTCATTTTTAATGAAAAATATTGTTAGAGAACCACACAGAGAGAAAGAAAAGTCCTACAAATAACTTTTGCTATGGTCTTTTGTGAGCTAACACAGTTAATAGGCTATATATTGCAATTGACATCCAAAGTCCATGATGTCCTCCAACACTGTGGGAAACATAACTAGATCTTCTTTTTCAATTTTGAGAGGCATTTGTAAATGTCAAGAGACTTAAAAAAACAACAGCTTCCTATACATCTACTTAATAAATGGGGCTGAGTTGGGTGATTAATTAGGCATCCTGCCTTCTGTGAGTCACATGAAGAAATTGTTGCTAAGTTGATCTTCATAAAGAAGAGATTATAAAATAGTGTGGTGTTGTTGTTTTGCAGCCAGCCAACATGTACCAATGCAAGCATGCAAACTTTGGACTTCCAGTGTACATTTACATAGGAAGAAATGAAAAGATTGAATTTAGAGTCACTATCAAAATTCCGCCCAGGCAAAAATTCAAAGTGAATGTGGGGGTGGGCGTCCCCCAGCCCCCAGACAAAACATCTGAGGAATTTTGATGGATAAAGGCTGTTCATCAGGCTAGCAATGGTTTTAAAAGGGAGTAGGATAATACATTCATAGCTGAAGTGGAATACATTCTGCGCTACTTCTCCTCAGCCCCAACTTCACCATTTTTGTCTGAAGAAGTTGAGAAGTTTATTCTTTAAGTAGATTGGTTCACCAAGGCCAAAGTCCTTCACATACACAGAGCTCTTTCGGGACTCTTGTTGCTTAAGTTTAGTTTTTGTTTTTATTCTCAATTTTTAAAATTGCATTGTATGCTTTGTAGGTGCTTCAAGCTTATTAAACCACCTTTGTGTGTCTTTCGGCAAACATCCATGTTGCTGCTTGCCATGCACTGAAAAATACAGTAGTACCTCAGGTTACATACGCTTCAGGTTACATACGCTTCAGGTTACATACGCTTCAGGTTACAGACTCCGCTAACCCAGAAATAGTATCTCGGGTTAAGAACTTTGCTTCAGGATAAGAACAGAAATCATGCTCTGGCGGAGTGGCAGCAGCGGGAGGCCCCATTAACTAAAGTGGTGCTACAGGTTAAGAACAGTTTCAGGTTAAGAACAGACCTCCGGAACGAATTAAGTACTTAACCCAAGGCACCACTGTATGCCAAAGCTGGGTTGAAGCAAGTCTTGGTGGTGTGAGAGCAATGTCTTCTCCCCACTCCCCAGAATGCATTTCAGGGTGTTTTCAGGGCCCATCCTATTCCTGGAGTTGTAATCCGTTTTAACTTTTTAATTCTAAATTGTTGTAACGTGCCCTGAGACCTGCTGGTAAAGGGTGAGTAATAAATGTCACGATGGTGGCACCGCTGATGATTTCAGCGCTCCCAAATTGACATTGGCTTGTAGAAACCAGACACATGAACAGGCACGTCCTGATTTAGGTCACCCACAGCATGGCCCCTGGCAAGAATATGTGTTTACTTGCTTGCTGTTCACTATTGCTTCTTGAGTCAATGAGCCTGAATCCCACCGCTACCTATTTTAAGAAATGACATTGACAAACTGGAGCGTATTCAGAGAAGGGCAACCAGGCTTGTGGGGCGTCTGGTAAAAAAGTCCTATGAGAAGCAGTTAAAAGAGCTGGGTAGTTTTGCCAAGAAGTGAATATTAAGGTGAGACATGATAGCTGTCTTTAAATATTTGAAGAGCTGTCACACTGAAGATGGAGCAACTTGTTCCCTGTTGCTCCAGATGGCAGGATAAGAACCAATGGGTGGAAATTGCAGGGAAGCGAGTTTCAGCTGAACGTTTCAGCTCAATGGTAAGAGCTGCTTGGCAGTAGACAAGGTAGGTTCAGGAGCTGGTGGGCTTTTCTTCACTTAAGGTTGTTTAAGAAGAGACTCAAAGCTGTCTGCATTAGGGATGTTGTAGCTGCATCCTATGCTGTAGATCCTGCAAGGGGGGGGAGACTGTAGATGGCCTCCAACGCTTCTCTCAACTCTAAGGTAACACCCACATGATAGATTTAAAGCACATAGCTTCCCTCAAAGAATCCTGGGAGCTGTCATTTGTGAAGGATGCTGGGAAGTATTGCTCTGTGAGTGGTAAACCACAATGCCTGGGATTATTTGAGGGAAGTCATGTGACTTAAACGTGCTGTAAATGTAACATGAATAGGACCCATTTTAGATAACCCCCCACTAGGTCGTTTCCAACACTGATTCTGTGAATATAGAGTATCAAGAGATTTAAGGAAAAAACCCACATTC